CTTAACGGCATATAAAAAGTACATAAATGCCCACCGTACAAGAGAAGCATTTCTTTCTAGAAGACCATGTAAAAAGCTTCCAGAGACAAAGAGGATGAGGAAAAGGAGGACCAGGGATGTAAAAAGCCTTTATAAAAGTGAGCTTTTTTTTTAATCAAGAGGTTTTGATAACAGATATGTGGATAAAGGGAAATCTGTTCTGTCCTGGTCTTTAAACAGACCTTCTTTGTCCCAAATTTGAGGCAAAGAAGGAGTTGTAAACCTAAAAAGGTGGTTGCAGTGGAGAAGATGGCTGCTGCTTGGTGGCTTGGATGATCTCAGGGTGGCTCCTTGCCCTTCAGTCGTTTCCCTTGGACTCCCACCAAACATTATCAGGACTAAAATGCCCTTTGCCTTTAAGTCTCTATTGCTTGTGGCTTGCCACTCAGTCGGCCAGCGTGGAGTTTTAATATCCCATCCCGGGCAAGGTCCAGGAGGCCAACATTGTCAGAAAAGGAGCAGGAACAGAGGGGAAGTACCTTCAAGCAAACAGCATAGAACAACTCCAGCTCAAAAGGGAACCGAGATACAGAAGAACAACCTATATGTATGTTTTTTGGTTTGACTTGGATAAGCAAAATGATGGTTTGCATTTGCTCTGCCATCGAAGTAACCCTGTGAAGCAGCTCAATAATTTTAGAGACCCAATTTCTTGGGCTTGCCTGTGGTTTGATTTGGTCTCAGGCCCCATTTCTTTATAGCCTAATTCCCAGTTCCTTATGTTGCTGCTGACATTGGCCATCAAATTGGCTTCAACTTATTGCAATCCTCTGAATTAGAGACCTCTGTGAGAACCTGTTGTGAGCAGCCCTGCTCAGGTCTTGCAAACTCTAATCGAATCTCTCCAGCTGCAATGCAGTCTCCCTCTTTTCCTACTGCCTTCCACTTTCCCCAGCCTTATCATCCTTTCCAACATCATCTCATTACATGTCCAAATTATGATAGCCTCCACGTAGTCATTTTCCTTCTATAAACTGGAAAAATCAGGGTTTTCATTTTTGGAATATACATTTTTTAAAATATTATCAAGCCAGAGGGGATATTTGAATCCTTGGATTAAAAGAAATTTGTGGATGCGGAGAACTTGACTGTATTTTTAAACATTCCAAAAAGCCAACCTCGACTTTGCCTTTTTAATATCAGGGACACCATTTTACTGTGCCATTATATTTAATGGGACTTGAGCATCCATGGATTTTTGTATCCATGTGGGGTCCTGGAACCAAACCCCAGCAGATACCAAGGGCCCAATGTATAATGCAAAATATCCAGGGATGAGCTTTGCTTAGGAAATTTCCAGGAGGCGTTTTGTCTCTTCTTGTGATCCAACGTGGCTACTCTTTTATTCCTATTTGGAATATTCAGTAGTCAATTTGGAGCGGCCACATTGGGACTGGCAACAGAGTCCCCAGAACGGACTGCCATATATTTGGTTAGGATGCAAAAAGTTATGATACTTCTGGATCAAGGGAAATAACAGTCCCACTCTCTTCTGCTTTGGTCAAGCCTCACCTGGAATAATATTGTGTCCAGTTCTGGGCACCACAATCCAAAAAGGATGTTGACAAGCTGGAGCAATGTCCAGAGGAAGGTGACCAGAAAATGGTGAAAGGTCTGGAAACCATAAAGCCCTATGAGGAGAGACTTAGGGAGATGCTGGGTAGGTTTAGCCTGAAGAAGAGAAGGATAAGAGCGGACATGATAGCCCTGTTTAAGTATTTGCAGGGATGTCATATTGAGGATGGAGCTTGTTTTCTGCTCTCCAGAGAACAGGACCTAGAGCAATGGATGCAAAGTATAGGAACAGAGATTCCACTTCAATATGAGGAAGAACTTTCTGACAGTAAGAGCTGTTTAACAGTGGAAGACGCTGCCTTGGAGAAGGATGGAGTCCTCTCCTTTGGAGCTTTCCAGACAGAGGTTGGGTGGCCATCTGTCAGGAGTGCTTTTATGTATTCCTTCATGGCAGAATGGACTTGGACTGGATGGCCCTTGCCATCTCTTCCAACTCTTATGATTCTATGATTTCTTGGCCCTTCCATTTACTATTTATGTGCTTTGATTTATTTTGAATGTTTGCAGCCTTCCTTAGAGGGTCGAGACTAGCTGTTTATTTGGGGGAGCGTGGATGTCAGACACGGTTCAGGGCCACACAGGCTTAGATTTATCAAGTCGCTCTCAATGATTGTGCTGATCTGGCAGGAAAGCAGCCACTTTGGGGCAAAAGGTCTTTTTCTTTTCTTCCCTTCAGCCACTTTCACATTCCAGAGTCCAATTGCGTTGTTGCTCGATATTTCTGCCTAACAAAGACAACAACATCCTCATTCTCGATGGAAACTTGAACTATGTCCCGTTCCAACTGCTTTGTCTCCATCCTTTCAGAGGCGAGGAGGAGATGTCTCTTCCACACTGCATCATTATCGCAGTTTGGTACCATTTTAAATGCTGTGGTTGCACCCTGTGACATCCTGGGAATCAGGACTTTGAGGAGACACTAGAGCTCTCTGGAAGATAATGCTGCATGCCTCATGAAACTAATACTCCCATGGAAGTTTAGTGGTGTCAAAGTGTTGTCATTGTGGAGCATGGTCCCCACAGAAGAGGACCATGAGCATCACAGTTGAACCAGATGGATGGATGGATTTCCCAAATATATAGAATCTATTAGGTCTCCTTGACTTTACACAACTGCATACCCTACAACTGTCCCACTTTCTCCCAATTACTCCTCTGCCATCCCACTTTCTCGGCTGTTTTTAAAAGATCCCAGTTTCTCTTTCTTCCTCCCACTCTCCCCCCATTGCCCTCAGCTTTCTTCCATTGCTGCAAACTGAGTTCCAAATGTAAAAGGAGTTTACTCTCAGTTAAATGAGCAGAAGGGAGCAAAGTCTTGCCCTTCCCAGTAGACTTGGGCAAAAGCAAACTGTTTTTGCAAGCATCTCCAAGCTTGTCTGTTCTTCCTTGTTAATAGCATCTGGCGCACACGCAC